GACGCATCATTCTTACAGGTAGGGCAGAGAAAAGGCAACTCTTGTTTCTCCTGCCACCCACCTACCCACTGAACGTATTATCTTCCCCTCAAATATTAGAGCAATTTGTGTCTTATTAGAGGTTTGATGCGATTATGTTTTACCAACTTTCACAATTCCATTTGGCAGGAAATTGGTGTAGGTTTTTTTTTCCAGGTGTGCATGGCGTGATTAACTATATTCATATTTACAAGAATGTGACTTCTTTCCTTTAGGACCCCCAACTAAACAGGTCAAGGTCAGCATAAAGATAGAAAAATGTTTACAGCATATCCTGTATTAGTTTCTAGCACTCATATGTTCATAAAAGTGCCTGAATAGAGTTAATATGATTGATTCAATCCTACTTATCCTTGGCAGGAAAAAAAAACCTACACCAATTTCCTGCCAAATGGAATTGTGAAAGTTGGTAAAACATAAACCTTTAATAAGACACAAATTGCTCTAATATTTGAGGGGAAGATAATACGTTCAGTGGGTAGGTGGGTGGCAGGAGAAACAAGAGTTGCCTTTTCTCTGCCCTACCTGTAAGAATGATGCGTCGCTTGCACTGTTCTTCAACCATACCTCGTCTTTTACCCAGATGAGTAAAAGGCATCTCGAACATAAATCGGCGGATGTTGTGATTTTTTTCAAACTCTGTTTTTCTTTCCTGCAATTCCTTTTCTTCAAAATATGGAACTACATGTGTAACTTGAATATAGGCATATTTTGAATCCAAATCCTTAGGATTTACCTTCAAAAAATTGTAGATAACACAATGCAAAGTTATGAATACATAGTTATTTGTTAATTTAAGGATTGATATAATACTTTCATGAGAACTAAAAACACTATTTTGTTGAAAAATTGACATAAAAACATTGATGTGTTCAGTAAGTATTACTAAGCTCAGACTAGCTTTATTACAATTATTAAACCAAATGAATCTGTAAAGTATTATTTTATTCAATTTAAACAATGGCAACAGAAGAGATGATTCAATTTATTTGTTTAGGTTTGCTGTATTTAGATTTTGTTACAGCTTCTTCAATTATTATAAAATAATATGTGGTCCTACTTTGTCAGAATCCTGGATCATCCTGACATTTTCAGATCCAAATTTATCTGAATAGAGCTTTTGTAGCCTCTGGGAAATTTCTGAAAGAGATGTGAGCTTAGGTTCTTTGTAAATATATTCTTTTCCATCCTCGTCTTCAAAGAATCCCTTTAGAAAAAAAAACACAGAATGGTTAAATTCTGATTATATCAATATTTAATGCAATGTCAGTCTTTAATGTCAAGGATGAAGGAGAAAAAATATTGAAGAATAAAGCAGTGGGGTTGCATTAAAATGAATACACACAGCTATATAGTGAATGTTGTAATTATATGTGATGTTAAGGTTAATGTTTTCAGGAACATACGTTTTTTCCAATATATTGTTGTATGCCTGTTTCACATGCCAAAACACTAGCCCATGCTTAAAGAATTTGTGTGATTTTTAAGTTTAACAAAACACCCTATAACATTTCATCATGTCATGCAGTACAACCCAAGTTAATTTTAAATCAAGGGTTAATTTAGCTGAATTCTATTTTATTTTTAGGAAATGCTATAGATCATCATTGTTCACATATCTCTGGTTAATTTATTTTGAATAGGTTCCATGGAAGGTGAAACAGGTCTTTTCATCTAAAAAGCAGATCTATTGTTTTATAAATTATAGAAATAAATATCCGAATCTGAAAATGAAATGGTGCAGGGAATACAACATAGCATGTTTAAAATGCAGACTAAATTGACAACAATATCCACACCAGATGAAGCTTGTATGCAGTGATGTTTACTGCACTGCTTGCTTTAAAAAGCAATATTTGTAATTACCTCCACATCTGTTTCACTGTCTGTAAACTGGTATTGCTATAGTCATAAGAGACAATAGAATAAATGGAGTGTTATAGGTTTCAGTCCTATCATAATTTAATTTCTATCACCAACACACATTTTTCTCCAATAAGTGCACATACACATATATACACAATTTACTTCATTTGGTTGCAAAGGAGATAGATGATAGATAGATAGATAGATAGATAGATAGATAGATAGATAGATAGATAGATAGATAGATAGATAGATAATGTTAAAATAGTGAGTATGCCTAAGTACAAAGACATCTTTTCCAAGTGAAATTATATATTTTCACAAAAATTGAAACAAAGATCAGAAAAAAACCATATCAAAACACAAAATAATGTGCTTAATAATTTATATTGATATGATTAAAAAACTTACCGCTGCCTTAAGAAAGTAATCATAAAGAAAAAAGAAAAAAGCATAAAGTTTACTGATGAAGAGATTGTCCTTTTCAGAATACAATTGTTAGTTCTATAAATATTAATTGAAAGTACATGCAAACAGAAATAGATATAACAGATTTTAAAAGCATGCTGTTAGAATACAGGTAGATCTTGCTTAACCACTGCCCTGTTTAGTGACCATTTGAAGTTACAATGGTTGCCAAAAAAGTAACTTTACAACCAGTTGTTATGTTCTTGATCATTGCAGCAGCCCTGCAGTGGCATGATGAACATTTGGGCACTTTGCAATCAGCAGGAATTTATAACCGTCAAAAACATATCGTCGTCATGTGATTGCCACTTGTGTACTTCACAACCAATAAGTAGAGTCTATGGTGAAGTTGCCAGTAAAATCCCAAGTCCCTCTCATGTTGTCTCGCTTAACAACCAGGGCGAGCTGTTTAATGACTGAATGAGAAATGACATATGTCCATTACAATCATATGATATTTCATTTAGTGACTGCATCATTTAGTAACGTAATTGCCAGTCCCAATTGTGGTTGCTAAGTAAGGGCTTCCTGTATGTTGCATTCTTTCAGGTGTTTAGTTGGCAATGAACAAAGGCTACAGGAGATAGTGCTCACCTGTCCAAAAAAGGCAACTCTGAAATACGTTCCCAGCAATCTCTTTCCTGTGTGCATAACTTCGGTAACTTTGCTATATGCCCGGTGCAATGTGTCATACAGATGAGCTAACTTCTAAAAATAGATGGGAAATTTTTTTGTAAATAAAGACATGAATACATTTGGGTTATTAGAAACAGAATAGAATGTATTATCTAGTTAAGTTTTAAAAATTCAAAGCTAGGTTTTCTTAAAATAGAACAAAAATGGGTTTCATGTTAAAATAACTTTTTAAATTACTAGAGGTGACATTTGTTGAAAAATCCATTACATTTCATTAAATTAGGCAGGACTATATAACAACTGAAAAAATTAACTGTCTTTAATTAAAGTCTTTTTAATATGAGCTTTGACTATATGATAAACTATGTACTCAACTATGAAGCCAACTCATTGCACGGCAGCATCCCCATGATCTGTCATAAGCGTGAATCACTGTGGGAGCACTGCATCTGACATAACTTTGAAACAGGTTGGTATGTATTTGGGAGGGGATCACTGGTTGTTTAGAACAGTTGTTAAATGGCCTGTTATAAGTCTTTGAAGTATTTATAGATTTAAACTAATACCTCAAAATCTCTTCGTTTTTCATAAACAGGAATTATAAGTTTATATATATCAGAAATCAGTTCATATCGTTCAGCCTTCCAAAGACCATCTGCACATTGTTCCAATAATTCCATCAATATTTCCTAGTTACAGAAAGAATGACATGCAAATTGTCATTACTAATAGAAATTAATCTGTATCAATTTTATGAAGAAAAAAATATATAGACACAATTTTTACACTATTGATGCATCTATCTATATTTAAGCACTAGCAATATACAGCAAATATTCTAATAAAATTTTGCTTCAATATTGAAAAGCAAATAGGGATGCCAATTAACATTCAAAATGTATTTCTATTTTTAACTCAGTTTGATCTTTGATTGATCAATATAATGCAGAACACAACATTTACTACTTTTATTTTAATGTCAATCAAAAGAATTTTCTATTTACCTCCATTCTCATAGAAACAAAATGGCATAATCATAGTTACAGTATAATACATATTAACTGATAGCATTGATAACAGTGCATTTTTGTATTGCTTTATGATCAACTTGATATCAGTATTCCTAGAACACACACATATATATATACACACACATCTTTAATAGGGTCTAGAGTTCATGTAATTATCATAAGATAAAGTGCATGAGTTAAAAATCGGCTCAGCAATAATTATCAGCTAAGCAATTATTCCTTATGCAGCAAAATGCAGTAATCTAAAAATAATAAATCCAGATATTTTTTCTAGAATAATTGATGGCAATTAATAACATTATTTTCATTTAGGCAGCATGTTTCCTCAATTCATACAAACTATTTCTCAATTCATACAAACTATTTCAGAAGTTCTTGAGTACAATATATCAAACCATGGGTGAAGCTATATGCAGTATTAATGTGGAAATGTTAAATTTTTCGTATTTCCTACAGGTTGCATTAGTTTTATCAAATCAGCTAATTAAATTGACATGATAGAAAATTTTTTACGTCTTAGCTTGGTTCCTTTGTGGTTTCATTCTCTTAACTGTGGAATATCATATATTATTTCTTATATTTGGTAGTGAAGGATTTTAAGCTTCTTTTATAGTTTGTAAAAATGTGAGTTTTAAAGGATTCCACTGACTGACTCTCCTTTTAATTTTTAAAGCATTTTTCTAAAAAAAAAAGAAAAAGTTTCCTGCCATGATTGTTTTCAGCAATAAATGTACAGCTTAGGAACTGTAATAAATAAATGATTTTTTAAAAATGTAATGTTATTTGACAACCTATTTGGGCTAGTCAATAAAACAGATATTTCAGAAGTCAAGAAAATCAAAATGATAATGACTTGTAAAGTATCTATAAACTAAGTTTGCTTACTTCATTAAAGTGAACACCTTGCATCCCCACATCTTCCATCATTGAGGCCTCTTCATCTATATTTGGAGTGATTACTCTGAAGCTGCTACAACCTTGTCTAAACATTCCTAAACATATAGGAAAAAACATGAAGAAAAATGAACAAATGAATCTAAAACAATTAGTGAGACAGAGAGAGAGAGAATGTAAATCCCACAAATGAATAAAAACAGTCTGATAGCTACTGGTAAATAGTTCAGATGTGAGTTTTGTATAATTGTGTCAGGATATATTTAGAAAGCAGTATGTATCAGATATTTGGAGTATTAAAACTGTTTGTAACATTTTCTTCCAAAAAAATGAGCAGTTCAATTGACTGCTGTTGTTGAAGAAGACTACAAAACAGAAGCATGGAATTATTTCCTGGTAACCAAAACAGCTCATTTTTCACTCATTTCTGCCCTCCCCAGCCCCCAGGAGCACTCTATAAGCCTCCT